TCCAACGTAGCAAAGCAGTTCGGCACTCTAAAAAATGCCAGTGTTAAATTATAAGAAGGGTTGGTCAAACATAATCATCCCTACAATTTAACATAATGGAGTTAGGGTTGTGGTTATTGGTTGCCTAGGAGTTAAAAAGGGTAAGGCGTCTGTTGATTTTATATACCCTGTATTAGTAGTTTCATATTAGCGTGTGGATGAGACTAGGAGCGATAGATTAGAGGGTGCGAGATCGCGATACTTCTATAAAGCGCGTAGACTTAGAGACGAAGACACACGCAACGATTTAACCCTATACTTTATCAAATCTACTTCCAAATATTCCAGTAACAGTACTACTGTATTACCCGTCCAGAGGAATTATATTCTAACAGCCAGGGCCTTTTCTCTCGACCACAAACGCATTTCAGATCTTCATGTTCGGGGTTGAAACGTCGATGGTAGTCGGCGTAGTCCCCGTGGCCTGTTCTTGCCGCAATAAGAGGATGGTACGCCCATCTTGGTAAAGCTAGTTCGGGTGGTCTTTTGCAACGCATGAATAGGTCCAGATCTTTGTGTCGTTTCGGTCCATACTTCTGCAACCATTCTTCCACGAGCTCTTGGCTGCGCTGTTTAACCCACCTCCCTAATGCCGCAAAGGTTAGATCTTGATCTTCTCCACTGGGCGCAGCTGAGGTTAGTGACCGGTTATTGGGAGCTCCCAAGGCTGATTTGGCCAGCTTATCGGCCTCTTCATTGCCTTGAATCCCCACACGACCGGGTATCTAGCGTATTTCCACACGCTTATTGTATCTTAGCGATGAAAACTTGTCCACCACCGACTGCGAGGAGTTAGATCTTCCTCTTTCGAGCGCCTGGGTGGCCGCTTAGTTATCCTGAAGAATGCAGATCAGTAAGTCTACTCCTACCTCTATTGCAGCCTTCAAGGCTTTCATGGCACCTACAACTTCTGCGTCGAATACCTCTGCTCCAGGAAGTGGACCGGAGCCACTTGCAACTAGCTTGCCTCCTTAGTATACTACATACCCCCAGGCTGATTTTCCGGGACCCGATGATGATCCATCAGAGAAAACGAAGACTGTGTTAGCTGGACGGGAAGCTAACCACCGCTTTATGCTTCCAGACCTAGCTTCATTTTCTCGACTACATGGAATCGATGCTGGAGTGCCATGTGGGAAGTATAGCTTTCTGGGGCCTTCGGCTGTCGGAACTCGACGCACACTCATTTATAGGCGTGTCATGTACCGTTCTAGTTTTCTAAACAAACGATTTCTTTGTCCCGATCTAAGACCTAAGCGTCTTATTGTCTCTTTCGGATCCTCGGCCGCCCGAATGGCTAAAGGGTGCCAAGCATCCATTCTTCGCATACGAGCTGCAGACCGCAGCATCTTTTGCTGAAGAATTATCGATGCTGGGGGTATTCCCGCTTCACAATGAAGAGCGCCATTGGGAGTGGTACGCCACGCTGGGATTGCTGCTCTGGTAGCTTTCATTATCGTTTTTCCCAGGAGAGATATATGCCAGCCTACTCCAGTGCCGACTTCTTTATCTCGCAGTGTGGTTATTCGAGTGAGACCTGGCCACCACGCTTCTGCCCAGTATAGAGCTGTGCTTAGAACACATGCAAGTACCGCACGAATCAAAGGTCCGAGTGCTGCACCACGTTGAACTCCGTTTATATGTTGTAAGAAATGGACTAGACGATTAGCTTTTCCAGTCCATTCCTGTACATGTTGCTTGAAGTTTAGCTGGGTATCAAGCTAGACTCCTAGCCATCGGATATGAGGTGACGGTTCGATCCGGCGATCTTCCACCAAGATGGAAAGATTAGCCGCGTTGATTTTCTTTCTAGGCCCTCCTCCGGTTACTAGAAGTTCTGACTTTGCTGGGTCAAAATTGATCCTGTGTTCTCTTGCGAGAAGGATAAGGCTGTCGAGGTCGTCTTGAGCTGCGGAGATAGCATCCGCCGCGATGTTTCCAATTCTGACAATAGCTACATCGTCAGCATAACCAAACCTGCTCGTTAGACTATGATCCTCAAAAAGCACAGCGATGTAGAGCACGAAAAGAAGTGGCGATAGTAGCGAGCCCTGAGGTACTCCACATTCCAGTATCTTCTCTTCTGTGATTCCACCGCGGTATTTGACCTGAACTTTTCGTTGGCAAAGAAATGTCTGGATAAATCGGCACAGTGATCGTGGCCAGCTTTGTTCTCGAAGGCGTTTGAGCAGTTGGTTGTGAAATACTGCATCAAATGCACCTTGAATGTCGAGTGTGACCATAGCCGCACACTTGCCACTTCTCATGACCGCCTCAGCATCATGGATTACACAGGATATAAGGTCGACTGCAGATCGTCCTGGTACGGAGCCGAATAGTTGTGGGTGAACAAATTGGTGACTTATCGTCAGCCATGCCATTCTCTTGCCAACTAAACGTTCAAGTCCTTTGCCTAAACTCGAAAACAGCGAGATTGGTCGCCAACCCTTGGCAGTTGACAGATTTCTACCTGGCTTTGGAACAAGCACAACTTCTGCCACTCTGAAGGCCGTGGGAAAGTAGCCGATTTTCAGACAAGCCTGGTAAAGATCTTTCACGAGAGGTCCTAGATGGGACCAACAGGCTTTCAGTAACCGTACCGTTATCTTGTCCGCTCCCGGTGCCGTGTCTTTGACAGAGATAGTGGCGCTTGTCACATCTTCCAGTGATAATTCCGTATCCCATGGAATACGCTCCTCCTGTCCATTCTCCCAGATAGAGAAGTCGTTCTCGGCGCTAAACCTAGCCAAGAGAATCTTTCGTAGCGCACTATCTCGCACTTGCAGGTCAGATAGCCACCGGTTTTCGTCAATATAATATCAAATGATTTTTTTTAATTTTCAATTTTAAATGAGGACCATTGTACTTTTCATTTAGAGTTGAAAACTATTCCCATAATTTAGACTTTCACTGAATATCATTGGATATTACCCCTGCTTGCTAAACTAGTCGACGAGCTATACATGGGTCTGAATGAAAACCATACCAATTAAGGCAACATATACAGGGATATACCCCAGTCATTTTGACAATTGTACTTTTGACACCATTAAGAGACTACAGGTTACGTCATAGTATATACACGTGACTGTGGAACTAAACCGTGGAGTGTTTAGTGTGTAATACATGTATGGGGGGGGAGTATCAAGGAGTTAGGCATTGAGGAATTTACACGAATAGAGTGGCCTAGAGATCTACCTTGCATTAATATCGAGCATTTATTGCGAAAAAAAAAGAGAGGATACTGTAGTTTTTTTAGACGATAGAATTGTCCGACAGTAATAGGCTATGCGGACACGCCAAACGTCCATTCTTGGGCATAAAGGCCGGGTCATACCCGTGAGCCTACTTTGCGTTAAATGCAAACAAACAAACAAATACATGTGTGGGTATTATGGACAAAACTAGGACTCGATAGAATAGAGATAATGGAATCAGCGAGAGACTGATGGACTGAAGGAGAACGAGCTGATCATTTCTCGTCGGAGAGAAATGATATTACAAGGGAATGTTCTAGTACTAGTGTTGTAGTTATGAGCTATGCGGAGGTCACATTTTTTTTTTAAATCATTTAATGTGTATTCAGCTATCTAGCTATGACACATGACCGGTGCTATGTATACATGTGGGATGACTCTTTTGACGTTAGAGACACTCATACTCTGGATTTCATTTGCAAATACCACTATGAGGTATGTTCGCTTACACAAACAGTCGGCCCTCCTCCGTGACTGCCCACCAAGGGGAGTTTCGAAACCTTTGGTTATCCAAACATACCAGCGCCGCGAGAAAAGTGGTTGTGTTTTGCCGGATTCGAACCAGCGATCTACTGTCTCAAGTGGGATATGTGTTCAAGCTATCCAGACTCTACTTGGCAGATCGGCCAAGACGATGTACCACCGCACCATCCAACCATGGCGGTGTTTATAGTGTCGCCTGCACTCTCGCAACCGAAGACTTGGCACGCACAAAGCTCAATTTGTAAAAACTCCTTGCCAAAATTCAAAATTCCACGCCCTTCGAGGCTGTATCCATCCTCTGCATCATCCTATCAACTTGTCCTGATCCCTCTCACATCCATCCCAAGGAATTGTCTTCCAGATTTGTGCGCCACGCTTTGCTTCCTCCGTCGGGTGTAAATATCGGCGTGGGCGTGTATCTGGCGACCAGCTAAGGCCAAAGAAAGTCGAAAAGAAGTGTGGTCATTGGAATGAGGATGTACTAGGTCGTACTTGTAGACTTGATGAGGCTTAGGTAGGAATCGATTTCGTTGGGAGTGAAAGATTGATATGGTGGAGTATTTTGAATCATTGCCTCGTGGTCCAACTTGTTCGGTAATGCGAAATTTGACTGAACTTGGCTCTGGGAGAATGTTTCACTCCCAGGTTCGTAGAAGGCACCAATGACAGGTGTTCAGTCTTGCCCTCCCGCGGAAGTCACATTGCGGAGTGATGAGGAGTGGATGATGTTATAATTTGTGGTTGACAGTGAATAGACTCATACAATATTATGATGTAGGTGTATGGACACAAAGTTAAGACTAAGCCTGTATCCATTTATTATGGGTACATCTATGAAACTATATACATGCTCGCCTAACCAGTACACCAGTACACTAGTGATGTATGCTGTAGCCTTGAGCCTCACGCGATGCCTTAGCCTCGACAACCTCGTTGTCCCATATCATAACAACTAGGCTGTGAACAACACAGTAAGTCTGGAGCAAGATATAAGGAGGTCGCAACCTCCGTCCATTCATTGTAACTAAGTTTCCCTAATACGAGAATATAGATTCAAGTCTTATAAATCACGAGGACACACGCGACAACGATTAACGAGACCTACTGTGAGCATAACTTCCCCAAGAGTATCCATCGTCCTGCTCCTATATAGCCTAGTTAATATGACAAAAATACACACAATCGTGGCCGTAATATATATATCCCACTCTATCTATTAGATCAAGGGCTTCCGCAATTAGCACAACATTCAAAGCTCTTCTCGCAACCTAAGACAATTAATCCAGCTAATGCAGCGCTAATATCTTTGATAAATTGGCTTTCAGATTTTTCTTTCTTTTTCTTTTTAGATCTATCAAGGCTGAGCCCGCCTCCAAAGTCTATATCAGATGAAACTTCGAAGCTACCTATATCCGTACTACCCCAGTCAACCCCTGATGATGTATCGTGTGAGTACGAAGAGTAACGTGATTGGCTTCTATCTGCCGGTGAATATCGATACCTGTAAGGTTGTGAATGTCGATTGTGTCCCTGATGATGCTGTTTTGTCTCATGCTCAGATGCAAAACATTTTTTAACGTGTTTGTAGACGTGTTTGAAGTATAGGCCCGTTTCATCCCATGCGGAGTTTTTATCCCCGTGAGTCTTTTGTATGCTTGCAACATTTTTATCATTGCGATCTCGCACAAAGTTACATGTATTGTCCATTTGTATTATTCGACTCCAATTTGGGCTCCCTCTGTCCTGTATACGCCATGCAAGATCTGGTCCGCTCATACGGTCTTCTCCCCAAATAAAATCATCGCGCTGCGCGTAACCTCGTCTCAAATTATTCTCTATTTTGGTTCTCCTTTCTTTGCTGAGATCGGGGAATGTAAATGAGCAATGCGTAAACATTTGTGTATCACCCTCGTACTGTACACCTCCCATGATTTTAAACTTTTCGTCAAATACAACGAAATCTTGTGAAACACGTTCTGGCACTGATAAAGTTATGCTGATTCCATACAACTTTTGCGTTTCTTCCAAAATATTGTTTGCGTAAATAATCTCATTGGGTAGAAGCGGGTAGGTCCAATATGTGCTGCCTTCAGTATAACTCAATTTTTCGAACCGCATTGGCCAGCACATCTGTGGATTCATTTCAGACTTCGCTTTCTGAAGAGAACGCTTGAGATATTCGTCGCTATAGGATCTCTCGTTACCACATTTGATACTCAGATCAATGTTTTCCGGTGGAACGTATAATTTGATCTGAGTATCATCATTGGTGGCCATTGTCATCACCGGGAATAAGATACCCAGAAGCATGATCATATCAAAGATGGTTAGAAATTTCACTGTCGCTGTTACTGTTGCTTTAATTTTCGAGATCTGGCCGACCATGGTTGTAGATGAATGGCGCCCACAAGCGACATAAAGATTAGAACGACTTGATAAATGTGTAGCTGCAAAGGGATAAACGATTGATTTGTCTTCTATTTCTAGTTTGTGCCTAGTTGATGAAGGTAGTCACCATGATAATTTGACTCGCAATGGCATTAACAGCTATAGCGTTGAGGTTCATACCAGCATTTCACGACAATTCGCATGGATCTCACATTGCCGAAAATTACTAACTTCCCAGTAATAGACCATGCTATAAGGAATAATTTACCTAGGTCATGACAGTGTTCACGAAATAATTTTGTTCCACAATTTTGGGTTTCAATGGGAAAGGTTGACTTGGCCCTTCATTGCTTCATCTCCTACAAGCCGGAGTGTCAGGCGCAGGTTCACTAGGCGCAGGACTCGAGGCGTAGGAGAGGGCGTAGCGTAGGATGTACTGAGGAAGGACGCCTCGTGGTAACGCGGAGGGCTTTCTAGAGAAGTGGTAAAAGGGAAAGCGGGGAGTCGTTCTAGATAGAGGGGCCGGAGGTGACAGTAGGTCACTATGTTTGGCAGAGGACGAGAGTGAGATGTGATTAGAATAATGTAACTATTCCTAAAGACAGAAAACAAAGCGTGAAGATATCAGACTCGGAAATGGAAACTACATAGGTGCCCTCGCTAAGCAATAAAGACTAGTGGGATTAAATAAGGAACCCATAAATCCTGCCTGAGGGATTTCTCAAGAATCCTTACACGGAGTATGCTCAGGGAGCTTGTAAGAGTATACTTCAAGATAAAAACTATTCGTCTCGGCCTCAAGGCCACTTGATCATCTTTTGAAATCTTACTTTGAAAATTGTCAGTAAAATCTATCAATCAATAGAGAAGCCCTAGCATACAGCAAGCTCTTCAGTTCACTAAATCTTGAAAGCTTGCATTGATAAAATGGCTTCTATGAGGTAAAATGAGAAGAATTAATCATCTCGATGGTCAGCACGCTGGATCTGTGTCATGGCCTAAACCTGAATCGACAAAATCGACCTATTCCCCAGACGAATGAAAATGTGACGGCGGCCAGGACGAGTCGTTTAGATAAAGAGCCCATACACCACATATTTACCATGATACAAATTGGTCGAGCTAGGTATTTTGTCGGATACAATTGTCCCCGGACTTCTCGCGAGTCTCGATATAGATACTCATTCTTTTTCGAAACAGGGATCTTGGCCAGAGGAAAATTTGAATTGGGAGGGATTAATCAATATTCCGAGCTCTACCCATCTCTACCGAATCCTATTCAATAATCCTCCCAAGACACAAATAAAATCCCGCCGATTCAGGAGTTATCATCTCCATGGCGTGATGTCCACCGGTGAAGCCGACAGGGCTGCTAATAGGCTCGGATGTTCTGGCAATAATAGTAGCAAATGAAATTGGTCTGAGACGTGACTCATGAAAAATAATCATTGGGATCGCATGGGAAGCCATACCAAACTCAAGTCGTGAGTGAGGCTGCGCTGTGGAATCGGGGTCGATAGCATAAAATTACATACTTTTGAGAAGGTGGAAAAGAAAGAATTAAACACTCATTTTCAGACGATTAATTATTTCCTGATATTTCTTCAATGTTTCTCCATTTTTTGGAGTATGCTACCTAGCTTACAATGATCGGCATTTCCTTCGGTTGTGATCAACTTGCTGGCATACCGCGATCTAGTTTCTTGTCGCGGTTGAGCGGTTCTCTCCCAAATGTATATGTGCCACATGAAGAATGGTATTGCTAAGGGTTTTACCCGGTGTTAGTTAGCTGGGCTGACTTATGGGCCCAGCCTTGCACGTAGGTGTGATGTTGCAAATGGGTCTGGCTCTTGCACCAGGTTATACGCTTAGTAATTACTTATGTAAGGTGATCATCAGCAAACTCCTTAGATAGGCTCAATCCCACTGAGATATTGGGTTGTTGTTTTATTAAAGTCCTAAGCTAAAGCTCCAAATCCACTATGAGTACAGGACTGATTTTTACAGCCAGAACTACATCTAAGAAACACCCAGCTTGATTCCACCGCATGAACCACCACAAAACCAGCAGTAAGTTAAAAATATGCGCCGTCGCGAACTCTTTTTCCCAAAATTGACAAAACAAAAAGATAAATTGCAAAGAAATTAGAATGGGAAGCAATACTCCTCGCCTCGCTCCCCATTTTGTCAGGTTTAGTTTCCTGACGAGTTATATTCGATCTCCACTGAGAGTAGGAGATGAATACACAGGAGAATACCAAAAACAATTGGTATCCTGCGCAAATTGTTTGAAGCTCTCGAAGTACTTAGGCCCGAGTAGCTTGTGTAAGAAGTCACTGTGTGACAATGACCATCTGATTCGACGCTTGATGTTTGCGTTGAGTCGACAATGTATGAAGTGGGTAGGGGTGGTTTCCTCCCCACAGATGCACTCTGTAATAGCGTGCGGATTGTTGAAGCGACGATGGTACGCCGCGAAATTGCCGTGGCCCGTACGGGCTGCAATGAGATGTCGTAACTGTAGCCTGGAAAGCCCCAGTTCTGGTGGTTTACGACGGCGCATGAGCAGATCTAGCTCACGATACCGTGGCGGGCAAGTTTCATTCTACCAGCTGTCGAGCAAAGTCTGTCGCTGGCGATGCAATTTTTGATGTAAAAATGCTGTCGTGGTAGTTGCTGGCTCAGTTTCCACGCTGGGAAGTGTTCGTAGGGCGGATTTGGCCGCTGCATCTGCTTCCTCATTTCCATGTATCCCCGAGTGTCCTGCTACCCACTTTATTCTTACCTGAGCTAGCCCAGATAGTTCGCGAAACTTTCGTACTTCCTCGTGGCTGGTCGAGGACCTGCCCGTGCTCAGTGCATTTATCGCATGTCGAATATCCATCAACACATTAATACACTGCGTCGTTCCCTTCGCCAGGTACTCCTTCCCTCTTAGGTGACCCAACGCTGCTTTAAGAGCTTCCTGTGCCCCCATAATCTCTGCATCTAAAGCCTCTCCACCGTGCTTTATGCCACTTCCTTTTTGAAAAGATTTCCCATCCAGCTTTAGGACAAACCCCCAAGCTGAGCGTCCCTTTCCCTCCGATGCTCCGTCCGAGTAAGCACAAATTTTTGACTTTGGCACATTAGTGATCCAAAGTTTACAGGCTTCTACTCGGTCTTTTCTCGAACCAACCTTCGAACCCGGCCGCGATTGATAAGATGGTGGGGCAAGAGGTTCCGCGGCCTCTGCCTCTGGTAGCTGTCTATAAGTACGCTGAGCCCGTGACATTTGAATTTCAGGACGCGCAGATTTTCGATTATGCTTTTTATATTTTCGCGTACCGACATTTGGGCAAACTGCAGCACGGATCCTGAGCGGATGGCGGTCGTCCAGTGATTGCATTCTGGCAGAGAGGCGAAGTCGGTTTCCTTCGAGAATTATTTTCCCGGTTGGTATTCCTCCTTCCCTATGAAGTACGGCGTTGGGGGTTGTCCTCATTACCGGTAGTGCTGACCTAAGACCCATTAAGACAGCCTTATCAATCATACTACATAGGCCAGCAGTGGGCGGTGTCACCATCCCTCGTACTGTTGGGCGTCTAAGGCCAGGCCACTAGACATCAGCTCCATACATTGCGATTGGGACAATACATGTGTCGATCGCTTTAACCAACGCCCCAGGAGCGGCTCCTCGGTAGGCTATATTGAAGCGACGCATGTGCTGTGCAATTTTCAACGCTCCGCTACACCAAGTTGTGACGTGGTGTTTGAAGTTTAGTCGAGGATCGAGGTATACACCAAGCCAGCGGACATTTTGCGACGGTTCTATGAGGCTTTCGTTGACATAAATTCCAATCGATGTTTCGCGGTATCGTCCAGGGAATTGTACGACTTCGGACTTATTTATATCGAAAGCGACGGCATTATTTCGAGCCCAGTCTAGTAGGTTATTGACCTCGTCCTGTGCTACGGCTACAGACTCTGCAATCGTCCGGCCAAATCCAAGGATACCGATATCGTCGGCGTAGCTAAACCTCAGACCCGGGGTTGCATTTCGCATGGGCTCTGCCATATATAGAAGGAAAAGAAGTGGCGAGATCGGTGAGCCCTGTGGAACTCCGCACACTAGCTCTCTCTTGGCAGTGACTCCCCCAGAGTATCGCACTTGAACCATCCGATTGGCGAGGAAGGAGCTAGTCCATTTGAGAATAGACTCCGGCCATCCCTGCTCCTGCATCCTCCTTACTAATCGATTATGGAGTACCGCGTCGAATGCTCCTTGAACGTCCAACGTTACAAAAGTAGCTGCCCATCCTTGTGAATTTGCCTCTTCGATGTCGTGGACCACACATGAGACTAGATCCGTTGCTGAGCGCTTCGGCAGTGCACCAAACTGTTGCTGGCCGACTACATCATGGATTACTGCAAGGTGTGCCATCCGCTTAGCTAAGAGCCTTTCTAACCCTTTTCCCAAGCATGAGAGAAGAGCGATTGGTCTCCAACCTTTGATTGTTGTTGGATCTCTATCGTTCTTTGAAGGAGGACCACCTCGGCTAATTTGAAACACTTTGGATGGGTGCCAAGCAGAATGCAAGCTCGGAACAGTTGGGAAATCCAAGGCCCGATTGTATTCCAACACGCCTCCAGCAGGTTCACGGAGAGACCGTCTGCTTCTGGGGCCGTATTTCCGCAACCAATGGTACAGGCTCGGACCTCTTCATCTGTTACGTCCTCTTCCCATGGTATCCGACTGCTGCTCGCGACTGTACATGGCCACAAGTCGTCTGATGCCTGAAATCGTGCCATGAGAGAGTCGCGAAGGATCGAGGCCCGTTTTAATGGATCTATTATCAACGTCCCATTATGATTCAGTGGCGGAGGGATACTAGCCTGTCTGGGGTTATCCATTCTCATTAGCTTAAATACATCAGTCGGCGTAGTAATTGATTCGACCTGTTGGGTTTTGAACTCCTGTTTCGAGGTCTTCACAACTGATCGGAGCTTTTTCGCGC